TTCTATGCCTCAGCCTACTGACTTTTGACATTACAGGTATGAATTGCCATGCCCAGTGTGAATGTTTTATCTTAATGTTGATGATGGTGAAGACGATAATGATAAATAGTACCTACTTTACAAAGACATTGGGAGGATTAAATCAAGTAACCATGGTGACCACTCAGTATAATATCTAGTTAAAGATAGTCTTGATAAAAGTAGCTTTTCCTATATTGTTTGCAAACCATAATTTCTTATGTATAATTACAAGAATACCATCTAAAGTTGCAAATACATGAATTCAGATTGGAAGATCTTGGGGAACTCAGATTACTTAAAATTTTAAATATCATTTTATGATCCATTTCTTTTTATTTTACATGCATAGATTCTCATTGTCAAATTTATTTCAAAAATAAATGTATACTTATTCCAAGAGATTTGTGTAAAATATTTGGGTTGATTCTTCAGCTTACCATGAATCATATTTTTACATTTTACAAATAGTGCATGCTCCAATATACATTTTTATGCCAATGCTGTAATTAATCAAGCAAAAAATGAGTGTTGTTTTTCCTAATGATGAATTTGTGCTTGAAAAAAAACCCTTGCCAAGATTTTAACATATCTATACTTTTGATTGTGTCAAAATGTACAATTCTCAACTCTATCTTTACGTTTTACTTGTGATGGGAATTAATAATAAAATGTTTAAGCTGTTAAAATTTGCTTTCAGTAGGTTTCATTTTTGAGCAAGCATTATGGAATAATAATATGTGACACAAAAACCAAAGGACAAAGGGTGCCAAGCATTGCAAATGTATTTGGAAAAGACAGGTGAAGCTGCTAGGAATGTTAATTTACTATAACCTGAGAAAATGCATTTAACTTTAGACTTTAGAAGAAGGAAAAGGCTTTTGCTGTATGAAATGTGTGAACTAAAATATATACTGTTCCATCAGAAAGACTTCATGCAATAATCAAATGCTTTTTGGGACTCTATTTTGTGTGCCTTGTTCTGTATTAGGAATTTTAAGGATGTCAACATTAAGAAAAGCAGTTTCTTTCTTGATTTTGTGTTTGCTATGGTGTGAATTTAATAAGTTATTGTTTTGTCTTTAAAATTCAGAACAAGAACAGCAATCTGTGAAATTAAAAAACATAAAATTAGTGACAGATACCAAACATCAGCTGAAAAGGAGGGTCAGTTCTTCTACAAAGGACAGAGTTGGCTATAGCAAAATTTCACGTCTTCAGATATTTGATGAACAATATGGCTATGAAAAGAGAGGGGAAGAGAGAAATGATATAGCTTATATTGACCGTTGCCCCTTTGACAGAACTGAACCTTTTGGGGAGACGCTCCAAAGTCTACATAGCTGAGACCTCTGAAGCCTCACAGCTTAAAGCCACATGAAAACACACACACATACACACACACACACACACACACATGCATAAATACAACACATACACAGATACACACACACATACACATGCATAAATACAACAGATACACACACACACACACACACAGCTTACTGTCATTAAATTCACACAGTAAATTCCTTGCTAGTATTCAGTTGCTTGCTTTATTATAAGCAGATAGTAAACATATGTCGAATAACTTGTATTTCTAGTTTCTTTTTGTTTAGTTGCTTTAACAATTATAACAGTTTGTCCTCATCATCATCACCATCACATACATATATGTAGCTCAAATGTCTTTTCCTCCTTTTGTTTTTGTGCTTTGGGAAAAACTCCACCTGTGGCAATTTATGTTCACAATTCAGCCCATCTGTAAATATCTCATTCCCTTGAACCTAAAAAACATTATCAAACTTGACATAATTTAATTACAGTTGTCAGCAGGAAAACTGAGTAGTTTGACACTAGTTCTTTATGTTCCATTTTAGATAGTATTCCTTTTCTAATCACTTTCCAGAGAGCCTATTAATAGAATCTCTCTGAAGTTGTTCTGCAGAACATTCTAGCTCCTATAGCTTGGCTTTACCGTGACTCTGCCTACAAGTTTTCCATCTTCTCAATAGTCAACCAAACTAAAAATTTCTTTTGGAGCCGTGATTTACCTGAGATGGTAGTTTAGAATGTATCTTTCTCTCCATGAGCATTTTCTTAATACTCTTAATAATTTCTTAATACCTACTGTGTATGTTGTTTACTTTTTTCACAAAATGCAATGGGGTTTTCTTAGACTGTCTGGGGAGGGAACATCTTCATTACCTTCCAGTTAATTTTATAGTAAGTATCTGTTTTGTCCAGAACCCTTTTTTTCATCATTAAGAGAACTCAAGAAGTAGGAAGATGCAGTCAGTGAGCAAGATAAGCACCACTTCAAGGACTTTAACAAGACAGAATTATTCCATCACCAAAATTGAATGGTAGGTATCGAAATTCACTGTATTCTCCAAGAGGAGTTAAGCTACTTTGGAAAGACTACTGAAGGCCTCTAGTGGGCACTTCCATAGGAACTGAACCCATTACCTGCACGTTTTTCCACCTACAAGGGGAAGGAACACATGCAAATTAGCATGGAAGACCAACAGCATTTGAATCAGTTTCTAACTGAAGTTCCATGGATAACTTCCACAGGAGCTTGAGCAAGAAAAATAGGAACCAGAGAAATAAGCAACAGCTTCCCAGTGATGTTAGACCTTGAGGGAAAATGGACAGAGAATGTGCCATGTAAAAAGGATATCTTTTATGGGAAGGTACGCATGGGCCATTTTGACATGCTTTTCAGACATTTTCTCAATTGTCTAAATCAACTTACCTAACTTGGAGTTTTGAGTATTTTTGTTCATAATCATCTTTCCTTCCTTTCTTCCTTCCTTCCTCTCTTCTTCCTCACTCCTTCCTTCTCTTTTCCTGTTCCTTCTTTCTTTCCTTCTTTTACTTTCTTTTTTTTTTTGATTTTTCAGTTTTGAGGCTAGCTAATTTCATTATTTTTTGTGTACTGATGCTATCTCCAAATTGTTTTCCATTTTTGCACAACTAATTATTTCACAAGTTCTCCAACTTACCCACCTTTATCCCCTCCTGATTTCTCATTGGAGAAATTATATTACCATACAGAAAAGTTGACATATTACCATGTATTTGTCAAATCCATTTTTGCGGATGAAATGATTGTATCAGAAAAAGACCTAAACAAATAAATCTCTCATCAGTAATTTCATATATCCAATTACTTATCTATTAGTGAGATATGCAAGAAACTGGAACATTTTATGAGCCAAATACTACTTTTTCTCAGATTCTGACTTAAGCCTTTGATTATCATTTCTTGTCCCTCCCATTTCTTTCCTTCCCTTCCTCTTTTCCTTTGCTGTTATTTTCCACTGGCCTCACTAAAACAAAAATAGAATTTATGTTTTCATTTCATGCTGCTACCTAGCTATCTATGGGCAGGCAGATGGCTTCACCTTTAACACCATAGTTCCCTAGAGCAGCTAAATGAAATTTGTACCATCAACTACACAAGTTCTTGTAACCACATACAGGTTACATTACATGGCCTTTACAAAATGAAAATTATCAAAAAAGGAATGCATTTCTGGTACAGTCACTACTCAGGAAACTCTCTATTCCATGACTATTAACAGTAACCACAGTAGTGGTGACTGTATAGGAACATTAAGTAGGAAAGGAAAATATCTTTTGTACAAGCCTATACTCTCTAGATATACTTGCTACAATTTCCAATAAAATCTATACGTAGGAGTCATGGCTGTCCAGAGTCTTCTCTACTTTAAAGTAGATGCTCACTGTGACGTATGACAGATTTATCAAGAGGGCATGTAGTCTGAGTCCAAATAATGAATAAAAACCCAAATTATGTGGTCCCAGGAGCATATAACCCTGCAGCAGAGACACAGCTTCCCAGGACTCCCATTGTATCTTGTGCAGAGTTCTCCCTCCCTGAAGATTCCACACATTAGTCCTGGTTTTGGAACCCCTGGGGACAAGAAAAAGTAATAGAATTGCTCTTTGTCAGCCCTTTAGGTATTTGAACAAGGTGATAATATCTCCCTAGCACAATAACTTCTGCAAATTCTACCACTTCAAATTATTTTCCATGTGATTCACATTTTAGAAACTTCTGTTTCTAAACTTCTGATTCTAGGACTGAAAACTTTAACATGGACCATGACAAATTAAAAGGGCATTGAGTTAATATCTGAGTTGTGTATTTATCAATGAGTTAAGCCATCCAAGAGTTGGTCTTGAAAGGAATAGGCTACCAGGTACATAAATCAATAAAATATCCAGAGCTATAATGTGTATACACGGATTGTACTTCTCTCTCTGTCTCTGTCTTTCTGTCTCTCTCTGTCTCTGTCTCTCTCTGTCTGTCTCTCTCTCTCTGTCCTTTCCTCTCTCCTCCCTCCGTCTGTGTCTGTGTCAGTCAGTCTGACTGTCTGTTTCTTCCTCTTTCTCTATTTTCCTTTCTCTTGCAACAAGTAGCCTTTGCCCATAGTTCTTATTTCATGTTTGTTAAGGAAATCAAATGAGTATATGTGTAACCTATTTGTACCATACCTGACATATTTTGTCATCATATATATTGTCTCGTGGATAAATCAATATATACATATAAATATGCATATTCCTCAGGCTTAAAGAAGTAAGAATGTTGGAAGAAAATGTTGAAAATGATGTCTTATTGTCTCTATCTCTAAAGTATAGGGTGCTTAAAGTACAAAGTACAGATTTTAAATCCATACTGATACTCTAAGAAGGGGAACAGAAAGAAATAACAGGTCAATGTTTCTTGAGGTTAAGACACATGAAACCACTTTTTAGAGACTAGTAGGGAGTAAGCCAGAACACCATGGAGAAGCATATTCTAAGAAGGAAGAATAGGATATGCAAAGGTAAAACTGCTCCAGTTGGTTAGTCTTTATGAAGCGATACAATTCAGTAGATTTGCATCAGGATTGTGAATTATGACATCACAAGTTGAGACGTCTTCACGTTACAAGATATTACCAACCCATAAAATTGGATGTTGCTTAGTTTGCTTTTAAGAAAGATCAAGGAATGCAGGGGTAAGACTGTCCAGCATGGATACCCAAGCTCCACAATACCTGAACTGTAAGCACACAACTTCTCACCTGAGTTGTAGCTCCTCCACAGCATCATGGATGTGATAATGCTCTGCATTTCCCTTACGGGGCCTGAGTAGGATGCTGCTGCACCTCATTCTGAAGATGTTTTTTACTTATGACGTGATATTAAGATGGACATTGACCTGGTGAGATGTAAATGTCCCTGAAGCCACATTGTTAACAAAGGAAAGTCAAAGATGTTTACCATGAGAAAGCAATTACTGGTTTCTGGGCCTGAGGATGGGGAGTGGGCTGAGGACAGGCTGCTATTTTTGGCTCTGTTTCTGCTTTGAAATCATAATTCTTTTTACCCAGTAGTCTAGTTAATTTTTTTATTACCAGACTATTGGCAAATATACAAACTTTTAGCTTAAAATAAGTCTCACTTCGTTTTATACAACTGCCCCATCAAAACAGTTTTATCTGATGACTGATTATTTTGTAACACATCTTCCAGCTTTTGCTTCCATGAGTCATCTGACTTAAGGAATGACATCCCGGTTGCCATTCCCCCTTCCTTGGTTAATGTAAACAAAGCTAAAGGACCATCGTGTTTCAGACTACAAATACACATGGAAAATGTTGCTTCTTTTTATAAACATTTGATGACTACATGCTGCGGAGTCAAGAGCGAGGACTACATTTGAAGCAGTCAGTGAATTCTGTTTTTACTATGTGTCATGTGTATTCTATACCATATATTGACACATGAGATTCCACCCCTCCTTCTCTCTTTTCTTTCATCTTCTAGAATCCCTACTTTCAATAACTTTTTAACAATGGCGGTAAGGAGATATTCATTCGATACCCCCTGTATGCCTACATGTTTGAGATAAACCAGTAAAGTACCAATATTAACAGTTACTGGCTTTTACATATCTTTGCATAGACACACACTAGACCTTCAGCATAAGGGATGATACACATATAGAAGACTGAATTATGTGTGAAGTGAGAGTCTTTGAGGAGAAGTGCTATTTTGGTAATGTGTCTCACCTCCCATCTCCATTCTGCATTAGAGTAGGTTCAGAAAGGAGGCAAGAGAGAGCAGAGAGAGGTGAGAGTGGAAGAAAGTACTCATTGAGAATTTGGAACGTTCAGGCTAGAGACATTTTCATTTTCTAAGTAACGACAATTCTCAGAAGGGAGTGTGGAAGGCATTATCATCTTAGAGCTGCAGAAGTCAGAGGCTTCCAGGTCATGTAAGTAAGGAGCACAAACTGAGCTCAAGCCTGAGCCTGTTCAATTTACAAGCCCACGTTCTATGTCCCTGACGTCTGCACTACTGCTGATAGGAACAGAGAACGAAAAATGTGACTCAGCAATTCACAGACATATTAAGTGAGGATCTTTGGATGCTGTGAATCTCAACAAGCTATTGATAAAAGGCCGGTCTGATAACATTAGAGGACTCAGGTGACTTCTACACAGAGATCTGGGCTACCTGAATATCTCTGGTGTTTTCCCATCGTAATCACTGCCTCGCAGCTTTCTTTGCCTGTGTCCCAGAATAGCTCCAACAGATATGAAGTCAATATGTTTAATCTTTGGAGATAGCTTTCAGAAATCATTCTTGGGTTGATTATAATCAGTAATCATGGACTTTTAGAAGGAAGCTGGCACACGAAATCTTTGGGGCAAACTTTTACGTTTTAGAAGATAAAATCCCTCGGAGAGAAAAGGAGTGTCATACAAAGTTCAGAAGCTATATGTCTTGCCTCAGTTATGAAGACTCTGAACTTTTAACCAATTATAGGTGAGGTTACTCTTCTTCTTGACCCAGGAGGAGTCTCTGAGCACCCTCATGTCCAAAATACTTTCATACGACCCCAAGCTTTAGGGTCTTATACCTAATTTCCACTTACATAGTCACACAAGTGATCATCATCCATATTTCTACAAGTCAATCAAGTGTAAATTTAACTAACAGTAACTTTAGTTAGTCCCAAGAAAGTGATTCTCAGTATCCATTTTGTTATTGCAGCTACACTGGTACAATATGAAGACTTGATTGCATACCCAAAGCACATCCAAAATCATCTCATCTATTGTGACTCTTTAGGCTAAATCACAGGCCATCGTCTGCTTAAGTGGCCAGAACTCAGATGTTTATAAACAGAAGAACATTGAAAACAACAAAACATATCCAACAATTGCTAATACATATGGATACAGTTTGGAAATCTTTTCATAATATACAGAGCTCTGGATTCTGTATCTCTGCATTCTAGACTGAAGCTTATCAAGCATAACTTTTATTGATCACCTTTATGTTGGTAAGTACTTATTAAATCATATTTTACATAAGACCTTGCACAATCTATTGCTAGCATATGTATTCCAGGTCTTCTTACACTATAACACTTCCCTTCATCACCTTCCCCATGTAAATTGGGTTTACAGTTACACTGTCTCTAGGACTTGAGCAACTGAACATTATTTAATAATTCACCTATTGACCAGATATTAGCTGACTTGGAGTAAAAATATCCAGTGCTCTGAAATCTCCCATCATTGCTTATAAAGTGTCCACAATTCTCTGTAAGATAATAGGAAAAGTTTGAATGAAAAAAATAATTACTAAAATATTTTTCTTGGCAATGAAATAACTTGCTTATAACGTGCTAGCTGAGCATGCCTGAGCCCTTAGAGTTCTTTGGGTGGTCTATAATTTTCCAAGTGGGCTTGAAGCCTATGCAATGGGGACTGAATCATGTTTTACATCTCACAACTAAGGTAACTAGCAATCAGAATAGACAAATTGTTCCAGAACACATTTTCCTGGAAGAAAGCCCTCAAGCCACCCTTTTAGTCTAAAACTACTCCAGATTTTGGTGCATCTTGGGTTACAAGGGAACACTAGTATTATTAGCCCTTGAGATAGAGAGAAGCTGGGAGAGGGAAGTGTGTTCAGCAACTGGATCAAATATGGAAATTGTCACCTGTTATCCTAAGCAGATTCAACTACCTTGAATCTAGAACATTATGGAAGATTAAGGATGATTTCTGCTTTCCTTTCCCAGTACTGAGTGAAAGGTCATGAAAATTGGAGCACAGATCTCTGTGGAACCTGTTGTCCAAATTGTAAGCTATTTGCAAAGCGGGCCAGTCTCAAACTTGAATACATTTCCCAACTGTTCTCCTGAAGAGCAAACACATTTAAATGCTACTATTCAGCAGTCATTAAAAGGATATAAATGCATGCACATATGAATGTGGAAATAATCTTCTGTAAGGTGTTTCAATAAACCACTTTCCCAGTCCATACAGCAAACAAAGTGAAGTCAAAAAGCAGCAGCAGAGCTGTCATCATGAGTACCTTTATACTTAAGTTAGGGGATTCATACACTCTGGGAAAGTTGTTTGCATCCCATCATTTTGAAAATTGGGCTTTCTTTTAAAAAGAGCTACAGGAGGTAGCTATTTTAACTAGTTTCTTAATGAAACCTTTGGCGAGATGAAGGCTCAGACTTTTTGTAATGCGAATAATTGGCATCATTAAATTCACTTAGAAAACAAGGGATACTCGCACCATGTTTAGATTCAAGCAGATGATCCATCTGCTTTAGGTTTGGGGACTCATTCATTCAGCTAGCATTATTCATGCATTTACTATTCATGAATTCATTCTACAAATATTTACTGAGTACCTACCATATGCCCAATACTGTGTTAGATGCTCAAGTTATAGGAGTGAACAAGGAAGAATATGTATTTTGCCCTCCTGAAGCTTGTATCTTAGTAGGGTGAGACAACCAACAAAAATAAATCAATAAAATAAACAGTGTATTTCTAGTAGATATATTCATATGGATATGGATAAATTTGTCACGATGATAGGAAATGATGGTCTGTGGTGATCTAAGTGATGACTGGGTGCTGATGTTGATGAAAATTAGAGGAATATCCATTAAGTGGGCAAAGTAAGCACAGAGAAGCTAATCTAGAAAAGAAATTCTAGGTATATAAAATACGAGCAACAGATACAGGTGCCTTGAAGTTACTTGAATTTTCCTCAAACAATAGCAAAGAGATATATAGATCCCCAGTCATCAAGGGGGCTGTATGAGGTAAACAAGGGCTGCTCATTTGCACCCAACAGGAAAAGGAGGCCTGTGTGAGACTGTGGAGGTCAGGTAATTGAGTGCTCTCAAACACACAGCTTTATGCGTAACATGGAAAGAGGCCATTTCCACGTACATCTCCATGTGACTGTGCTCCCCGTACAGCTTCCTTCTTACTGTTATACCTTTTCTGTTTACTTTTTAAAGTTTTAAAAAATTATGTTTGTGTGGGCCGTGGGCTGTGAGTCAGAGAAAAGTCTGAGGCTATCAGGGTGATTCCGTGTGAATCAGTGGGGGATGCTAAATTTGGATCCACAGACTTGGAGGCAAACTCCCTTACATATGGAGCCATCTCTCTTCTGTCAACTGTCTCTCTTTCCTGTCTACTTTCCTCCCACCTGATTATCATCTACTCTTCAGTTAATTTACTCATGTATGAGGCAATGTGCCTCAGGATCTGATAGACATTCTCCACCTTTAGAACATGGAACTAAGATTATTTCTCTATCTTCTTCCTTCTCGTTATTGTATCAAGACTGAAGTCCATCATAACATTCTCTACTGAACGGCAGGCTAACGTGGCAGACACCTTGTGAGCCAAACACCTGCAGACTGGAGTTCCAGCTCTCCTGTTTACCAACTATAGTCAACTGGCCAGTGAATTTAACTTCAACTCACAGTTCTCTCATCTGTAAAATAGGCATGATAGGCTTGCAAGAGTGTTTAGAGGATTGTTTTATATACAAATGTTCTGCAATATAAAACAGGCTGAATAAAACCTAGTAGCTATTACTATTACATTATTAAAAAGTTTAACTTCTTCCTTTCTATCATGGACCTTGATAAAAAAAATATGTGAGGGCATAGTCAAAATGATTTGAACTGAGACTGGATGATCTCCCTGTTCAATTGTCTCTAATGTTTCTCAGAACTGTGTTCATGTTTATCACAAGGTACGGGGCCTGGAAACCCAAGATAGCCATCTTGGGCTATGAGAGAGGGATAATGGGAATCTGTTTCCTCCTGTTGGTGAATGTCTCAGCTACTCTAACATTTCACATTCCCCTGTAGGGACTCTTTTCCTTACTCAATTCCAAAGTATCTTCCATGAGGGGAAAAAAAGAATCAGATTCTAGTCTTCCATTTCCTTAACTGTCCATCTTGTCCTATGATGTACATAGGCCAACAGAGTAATTCAGAAGAGAGTCTCCTGTACTGGACCTTAGAACTCAAGAAGTATGTATATTCCCACATGAAGATGTCTTGTTTGGTTTCCTTCACTATTATAATATTACCACATTAATCTAGAAAGTTTGATGAGAAATCCAGAAAGACAAACTGAGTTTTTCTAAGCCAACACACTCTTGACCAAACAAGCCCAAGCAAATCACAGATAAGAGACATAGTAGGTGGAATTTTAAGCTGCTGAGTATGGAGACCATTTCTGATATAATATTAGTATGATGGTATTTAACCAATATCCTGATTTTAATCAACTCAGAAATTCCTCATTCAAAAATATTCTCTGGTTTGTTTTCTTTTGTATGTGTCAGACACTGAGAGAGCTAGTGGAATGGTTGTAGATATTAGCTATCATTTCCCTTACAGTCTAGGTGAGAAGGGAGACACTAAAATATTACTGATAGACCTGCAAAGGAGTTTCCTTGTGAGGAGCTCTTTGTAGTATGAGTTTAGCATGAGATGGTTAGCTGGTTGCTCCTAGTGGCAGAAAAGGGATTTGCACTCCTGAGATACTTATCTATCTATCTATCTATCTATCTATCTATCTATCTATCTATCTATCTATCTATCACATTATATTATATGGGAATGGGTGTTTTGCCTACATGTATATCTCTGTGACGGTGTCATATTTTGGAGATACAGACAGTTGTGAGCTGCCATGTGGGTGATGAGAATAGAACCCATGGAACCAGGGTCCTTTGAAAAATAGCCAGTGATCTTAACCATTGATCCACCTCTCCAGACTGATGTTTTGCTTTTAATGAAGAGGAATACAAGCCCTAAACTTCATCTCCATAAGAATTTCCCATGCCTACTTCAGAGCTCAATTTGGATAAACATTCATTTACAACTATAGGGCATGAGGCTCAGAGAACAGGAATGGCTTATCCAGTTGTGACTGGAGGAATTTGTACCAGACCCAGAGCATTTTTACTGCTGATATTGTCTCTGCAAATTGTAGTGTTAGTACAGCTTTCAACAGCCATAATATTCTAGTCTGAGATTCATATTTCTAATACTTGTAATTATAGTCTTTTTTTTACGAGACAGGGTTGTAATTATAATCTTAATTTTAGCATTGCTTCTTATTCAGTTCAAGGGAAGGACTGATAATCAAATCTATTAATTAATAATAATAGCCAATACCTATTGGTTGAGTCTCTGCTCTAGGTGCAACACTTACCATTTAGAAATGTGGAGATACTGCATCTCCACAGCAATTGTGGTATAGGCAATAATCCCATTTGACAGATCTATAAACTGCATTTGGGAATAGATGAAGGTTTGTTCAAAACCATGCAGCCAGTGAATTATTGCTGTGTAGTAGTTTCCTCTGAGATAAAACAGTACTTTGGAGAGAAGTTCTTAAAGACTTATGGAGAAGCATTTTATCCTCCAGGGAATTTCCTTAACCTCAGGAAGAAATCAATTCAATAGCTTGAGGAAGCTCCTGAAACTGATGAGATTCACTCTGTTTCCCTTTTAGCCAAGTTTATATATAATCAGCCTTAAAGGCCACTGAGAGACACTCTCAGACAAGCTGGGCTGCCTGGAAGTGACACATGGATCTAACTGTTAAGTCATGCAGTGTGCTTCAGAATTCTTTGATGAGCCATGCTGGGCTAGGCTTTTGTCAAGAGTGATCTTTTTGAGACGTTTCTGCTCTTGCAAGTAAATACAACCAACTCACTATCTTACCAAGTTGGAATACATTGCCTTACTTTGGCGTGGAATAGCTTGATGTTTGTTTAAGTGTTGCAAGGAAAAATGGGACATAAGAAAAAGAGATGGGATTCAGAGAAATATCAAAGACAGGCGATTCTTTATCTCTTGCTCTTTCTTTCTTTCTTTCTTTCTTTCTGTTGACTCACAATAGGTTTCTCATTTTATCTTTATGAACCCTCTCTGCTTGAGGAGGGCTTCCTGGAAACTAAATCAGTTTGAGGAAATCTATTCCCTGTTTGAATTTTGCCTCACTTTTAAGGCCATTTACTGAAGGGTTTCTCTAGAGCAAGAACTTTCTAGAAAGTCTGGGGAAGCCTGGGGCTTTTGACTGGAAATGAAGAATAGCAAGCAATGTAGGTTCTGGCTATCTTCAGAGTCTGAGGAGAGACACATCAAAGAGACTTGGTCCCTTTGATGAGGGGAAGGCAGGAAATTATCAGCCCTGCTCCAAAGATAGAGACTGAGACTAGAAGAGGCTCATTTGGGTTTCCTCTGGGTCTGGATTGAACAACACAGGCAACCTAGAACTTTAGTTTTCTCCCTTGAAAAACAAGGCAAAAGCAAGGAAGGTAAACAACAGAACTTGGTAGCTACTAGTGGAATTTGGTGACTTCCTTCTTTTTACTTCTTATTCTTTTCCTTTTACAATCTGAACTGAAATCACACAATACTCCGCCCAAGTGCTTAATATGGATTTCTATGACAGATCCTAACATAGTCATAAAAAAAAAGATTCCCTTCCCTTCTGAAATGCACACTCTGAAATGCTGTGTAGGTGTGCCTAACAAGTCAAGGAGCTAGAATGCCTGATTCTATTTCCTAGGAATTAATCACTTATGAGTCTTAAGGGAGGGTATTAACTTGCTTTAACATTTGTAAAAATCTCCAATGCAGCTGCCAAATCAGAACTTGCCAAATAGACCTATGGCTATCTTCCATAGGAATCAGACTCAGAAAAACTGTTTTTCATTTATTTTTCCCTTTCCAAATGCCTTTCAAGAAGTCCACCCCCTTAAGGGTTTAGTTGCGGGTCACAGAAGGCCCTGAGAATCTTCCTGAAAGAAATGTCGTTTGGCTTTTTATTATCATATGATGTGTTTTAGCAAGTTTATGCATCCATCACTGCTATTCTGTTTATAGCACTTCTGAATAGAAACGGCTTTCTTCCTCATTCTGCAGTACCGATTCCTGGTTGTAACCTCAACCTTGGACCACCAAGATCTATTATCTATATCTGCAAACTTGCCTTTTCAAGACATTACATATTAGTGGAATCATGCAATTTGTGGTATCTTTTTTGGCTTTTACCATATTTTTAAAGTTCCTTCATGATGCAACAAGCATAGGTTTCCCTTTCCTTTCCCCAGCTGAATAATGCTCCATTGAATGGATACATCACCTTTTATGTATTCAACTCATCTATCCATGGGCATTTGCTTTGTTTCCTCTATGTAGAACATTGTAGCTAAGGCAGCTATGAACATTCATTCACATGCTAGTCTTGGTATAGCATGTTTTCTCTGATCTTGAGTAGAAAGACTCCTTGGCATAGTAGCATTGTGTAAAGCACGTGCACTCTGCTATCCACTCCAAACTCTGATTAAATCGTGCAATGCCAGTTTAAATCTACCAAGCAAATTAACTTCCTTTTGAAAATTCGATTATGCTAACATTCATGTAGCAGACAGTTTAGAGAACAAATGTTATTTGATGAATTCTGAAAAGAAAGCAGAGGAAAATTTTCAGCTAAAGTCAGATCACAAGTGAACAGGCTCAGTCTGAGATACATCTCCCACTGGAGTTCATGAGATTTTCCTCATGGGTGCCCTACTCATAATCAGCTCTGAGCCTTTCTTTAGCAAGTGGTTACAGTTACATTGATGTTCGCTGTAGGTTTCCTTTGTTCCCTTCACGTCCACATCCACGCGGAAAGGATGCATAAATCCAGGCAAAGGTTTGTAGCCACTTCGGAACCATGCTGGAGTAAATACCAGAGCAAGTTGGACCTCTTTCCTTCTTCTGTCCAGTAACAAACATCACCTGTACACGGGAATGATTAGGTAGCAGCCTCTCTGTTCTTTTCCAGTGGGGGCTTCGGTGGTGCTTTGGAACCTACCCAAAGTTTTAGGGCTTAGAGCAGATTTCAGATGAAAACAACAAGAGACAGAGAGACCAAGAAGAAAGCAAAACCTAGCCGAATGGTGGAAAGGGTTCGTGTCCCTGCGGCAACAGGAGGAGGCAGAAGCTCACACTCTCCAGAGAAGCACTTGAGGGACCCCTGCACACAGCTGCTACAAGGTGGGCATTGTGGCGGTGAAGGCGGGAGGCCTGGCACTTGGGGCAAGATCGGGAGTGAAGGAAGCAGAGAAATAGGTGAAATAAGTAGCTGGAAGCTTAGCGCCCCCTTTTCCCAGAAGAAGAGTGGGCAGTTTAAAGGCCACGTCCACACAAAGTGACAGAGGCTTCCTTTCCCAGCAGGACTGTGATCCGGGTAGAGGGGATGGTGGGGGACGTCACCCAGTTGCACAGGGACCCCGAGGTGCTGTGGAAAATGCAAGCATGGGGCAGATATTTCTGCAGTCTTGCCTGTCCCTTGGTTCCTGGTCACATTTCCTACATTTCCACGGGAAAACAAGGAATCTGTGAGAGCTCTGTGTCCCCTGGACTGTTAGCTAGGAGCCCTTTTGCTGGAGTTCAGTCACGATCTGCTCTCCCTAGGTCCTCAAGTGTCCTCCCCTTGTGCTGGCTCCTCCCTCTAACTTCTGGTTCCTGTTACTCCCCTCTCCCCTCTCGGTCTTCCTGCTTCTGCTGCATAGCCCAGCCTTTCCCGTGTGCATCTATTTATTTAATTATTTGTTTATTTGATTGTTCTTTTCCTGGGGTCTCACTGCCATGCGACTACACCACGACCCTCCTCGAGATTCCGTTTCAGCTTTCACCTACTGGAAACTTCACCTCTGCTCTCTCCACCATCTTTCAGACTGGAAACTTGTCGTAACCCAAGGTCCCCATTGAAACAGGGATCAGTATTCCAAGTTCACAGTGCCTGCTGGTCCCCCACACTGCTCTAGGTAACAGGAGCGACCTGTCTAGTCCCTGCTGGCTTTCTTTTTCCCTTGGAAGATCCAACCCTTCACCCCAGACACCTCCAGATGGGTAGGAAGTGGCTTGGGGGGGTCTCTCTTGCTGTAGTGTGTCCTTGTGGGAAAGGGGTAAACAGGAGGCTGAATCTGGGAGCGGGTGCAGGCAGTTCTTCATGTAAGGCCATTCTTTAGCAGAATGGCATTGTCTATGGGCCCTTGGGGGCTGTGCGATGACCTGTGGGGGAGGCAACAAGTGAAACTGTGGGGTGGGGTGGGGTGTTGCTTGTACCTGGCTGGGCAGAAGCCAAGGAACCCTCCCGGCAGGGCCGACCCTAAGGAAGCTCTCCAATCGAACCGGCCGAGCCTTTGCATATAAGGTAGAATAAAATTGAGAAAAATCGGAGACTGAGTTTTTTCTTCCAAGTCCAAATGCTTCTTTCCAGTATCTTCACTGCTCTCCCGGACAACCGAGTTCGCAAAGAATAGGTGTTGGGGTGCTGAAGGTACGCGAGGGATGTCTCGGCAGGAGCCGTTAACGGGGAGGGATTTTCAGAGGGTGGAGTGCTAACTGATAAAGAATAGAATGCGCTCTCTAAATCCCGGTTGCCTCCCCTACTTGGGCAATGCCTTCCATCCAATCCACCCTCAGGCCGGCCGGTCAAAGCCCTAGCTTGCCCATCTGGAGCGGATTTCAGGGAAAGAGGAAAATGGGGGCTCCCAAACCCTCTCCAGCTTCTCTCCGTCGCCCTTCCTGATTGGCTGTGCATCCCTGGAGCCCAACTTCAGTCGCTTCAGACTCAGTCTGAGCCTCCACAGGAGACCAAGCGCTGCGACCCGGGGCCGGAGGGGCGGCCACCTATCCCGGGTTTGGCATCTCGAGGTCCCCCGAAGGGAGGGGCCCGGACAGAGTCGGCCCCGTCGTTTCCTCCAGGCCCAATTCTCCACGTCTAGCAGCCTTGGTTCCTCTCCGCCCCCCTCCTCCTCCTTCCCTCCCAGCGGCGGCCTCCCTCCTCCTCCCCCCCTACCCGCCCGCCTGCCCGCCACCTCCCCCCGTTTCTCATTCCTGCCACTAGCGCGCTCCGCAGCTCATTCCGCGGCCGCCGCCAGCTGAGGGGAGCGTCGTGGGCCGAGGAGCAGATGCCGCGGGGGCTGTTCGCAGTCGCCGCAGACTTGTGAATGGGACTCGGACTGGGACCCGAGCTGACACTGCTGCGTTCACCCAGAGCCAGGGACCGCCAGCCGGGAGGTCGCGTTCGCCCGCAAGGGCCCCAGGTGAGGCGCTCTGCCAGTCTCTAGCCCCTGTCTAGATGGGGCTTCTGGAGTAAGCAGAAAGAGGAAAGAATCGCTTTTGGAAGAGACTGTCTACCCTAGAAGGAAGCTTCTTGCTGATGGAGAGCACTAATGCAAAGAGGGAGGGCTTTGGGGGGGGGGATTAAAAGAATATTTGTTTTTAAAATGAGAGAAAAAGACAAGGCAGCCAGCTGTGGGCGCGGGCAGAGCAGGGGGTAGAGGCACCAGATGTGAACTCCCCCGCTCTTTGATGTGTTGTCCCCCCCCGGGGGGGGGTTTGTTGCACCGAGGTTTAGGAATAGGGGGTTTGCTCTGTATTGGGGCAAGGGACTGCAGAGCTGAGCTCTGGACACGCAGACAGCTCCGGTCATGTCTCTAGGGAAAGTCGACCCCTGTGCGGTGCCGCCCGCCAGTGCCGCTCCTGTTTCCCAGACTGGATCACTCTCTGCAGGATTCCTAGGGGATCCTTCAGTACCTCTGCAGACAGCTACCCAAGACACAGTCCCTATGTGGAGAGTGCGGGGAAGCCCTGAAGAGCACGAGCAGCCGGGAGGGGAGCAATGACGGGCAGCACTTTGATAGTGTGGGTCCGTGTCCGCCGACTGTGGCTCCCAGGCCAGCGGCTGCGGAGCGCATCAGCCAGCGCCTCCTCGGGGGCTCTGCTCGCCCTTGCTAAGCTCCCAGCGGTGCAGGGGTTGGTCAGCTAGAGGCTTTGACCCCGGCTAGGCTCCGGCTTGGGCTAGAAGGAAGCTTTCCAGGGTCAATGTTAACTTTGAGAGTCAACCCTTCCCCGAAAGCCTGCGCCTCCTCTCGGAGCGCTCCAAGCCTCCTTAGCTTCCGCACGCTCGGCCTCCCTCCCTGCGCCTGGCCTCAGAGCCTCAGTGCAGGGAGGAACAGGAGTGGCGGTAAGGGGTGGCGGCCCGGGCATCCTCCTCCCTCGCTCCAACCCAGTCTCGCCTTGGCAGGGTCTTCTCTTTCTGGGATGCAAAGAGTCCCTGGAGAAAGTGTGACCAACGAGGCCGCGGGGTCCAGCTTCCTGCTCTGTTTCTTGCCAAGGCCGTGATTTCGCCGTGGTTCTGCGATCCTGCCTTCCGCGGGTGAAAGGTTCGCTTGCTGTTCGAAGAAGCCCTGTTGCTTTTGCTAATAAATGCAGCAGGAATTTCACAGGCTATGGCACTGCTATTAAGAAATTGCATCTTCTAATTATTTAACTGTGCCGTTTCTGCACTAAGTAGGGTCGTCCCTAAGGGCTGGGAGTGGGTTTGTTAATGAAACCTGGTACTGCAGGAGGGTAGAGATTTGTCTAACGTCTCCCCTTCCATTTCTTCTTCAAGAAGTCTTTTACGATGGCTCCCAAATCTTTTCCTATTTTCTTCAGATCGTTCTTATCTGGGTACTAGGAAGCAGTAAGTTTTCGGTTTAATCACAGAGAACCGTGATAATTAATCTGACCAGAAGATAAATCAATTTCTTTATCGCTAGAGCTTACAGCGAGGATATTACGGGGTGTCTGGATTTTCCTGGGGACCATCATGCAGATGTGTTCTCAGGACTGAGGATTCCTGCATATTATCCAGGTTGAGCCTTTAAGGCTAGCAGAGGAAAAAGAGAAGGACTGATCTTTCATTTCAATAATGTTGGAATTGTTTTTTCCTATGAACAGGAGGCAGAAGCCCCCTGAACCTAGACAGAGATGCTCAACCTTTGCTGCAGGCAGCCTGCTTCTCTTCTAGTAGAACAAAGAAATAAAAGTTACAAAACAAAGGGACATAGCTGTGGCCAGTACTAGAGGGACCCTGAAGCCACAGGCATGTTAAGTTCCTTAAACAATCTCTGACTCTTTAAGTTTTAGGGTTGGCCAGATAGGCCCTGGAATTCGAACCCACTGTGCAAAACATCTGTCTTGCCTAGTACAAAGGAATGTGAGCAGACACCAGGCAAAGGCATCCAAAGGCCTGGAAACTTTGCTGGGTGAAAAACAGGCTTTGCATCTTGCTTTCAGAGCCCTTAAATTTTAGAATGTTGCAGTACTTGGAGTCCATACTTTTATTTTATTTTATTTTTAATAGTAAACATCAGGTACTGTCATTTTAATTGTTCGTTCAAACTCTGCCTATACTGGTCTGGATGTTATATGGTAAGGAGAGAGAGACAGACAGACAGACACAGAGACAGAGAAAGGCAGACAGACAGACACGGAGACAGAGAGAGAAACACAGAAAGAACACCATCTCTACCCCTTTGGGTAGGGAGTGAAGAAATAAATGCTTAGGAGAGATGGAAATGGGATAATCTGGTGATACAGGACTTCAAGATTTGTTCAAAGTGGGTTTGTTGCATAGAAAAAAAAAGAAAAAAGAAAGCTTTTTAGAAACAGTCCTTGTGGCAACATTAGGCCATCTTGATAACACCCCACAACTTCCATTATGTTAAGAACGCTTATCAGTGCACCACAGCAAATTACTTGAAACTTAAATTCTATTTTCAATTAAGATGCAATCTTTTGTTAATTTGAAAAAAAATGAAAAGTTACAGCTCTATTTTTTTATGGCACAGAACTCATATTTCCCCATTTACTGTGGTGGCTTCAGAGTATCTATTTGTGGGAGGAGGATGCAGAGTTGGAGAGCTGTGTCATCGTTTGGGAGAATATGGATCAATTTCATGCCCCTTTAATGCACATCCCTTCGTAATTCATGTCTTTTTCTTTCACTTTGAATAGAATTACATGGCTGCTTTGTCAGGATTCAGGTTTGTGGACCCTCATATGGGAATCACCATGACATTGACTTCATGGCTTGATTAACAATGCCAAAAACCACACTCCCACGAGCCTTGTGTGTCTTGAAAGTTCACTATGAGTGTCAATAACTTAGGAAACAGTTTACATAAACTTTGATATGTTATATGTAAATCCGTTTTTTCTGAAGCATCTGAACAAGGTCTACAAATCTGAATTTAATTTGCATCCCCAATGCTATTATCTTAGAAGTTCGAAAGGCATGCTAAGTTTGTGTGAGCTCATTTCCAACACTGACATTTATTTTTTATTTTGATTATAGGCCTACATTTTTATTAGCTAATAATAACAAAATATATTCCATGGAATTGAGAGAAGGCAGTGAACATTTTTGTTTCACAGTCAAGTCCGCAGAATTGCTACCAACTTCAAAGTATTTTCCTTAGAAATGTAAATTCACTTTGTATGTTCCCTAGCTAGTGATTTTAATGCATTAAAATATATTTGCAGTGAGTTTCTCCTTTATGAAACTGGTCATTATTCCATCAAAAGTTGGTTAATTTGTCAGGAACTTTCATTCTTTTTTTAGAATATGAAGTGGTCAAAGTAAATGCTCCAGAAATATACAAAGATATCTAGCCTGTGTAAGACTGGAAGTTAATTTGAAAAGGGAACAAAAGCCACAGGTCTGTTGGAAAAAAAAGGAGAGGAAGAAAGTTGGAAACATTGTGACTTCCCCATCTGAATTCACTGGTGCATGACTGCTGTGGTTGTTATCTGAAGTTTCCTCTCAGAGCAGGAAACACTAAAGATTACAGCGGGGAAGGATAACTAAACATCTTTCTGCTTTAACTTTACACTGTCATTGAGAGCCTTCCTTGTTCATCTCTGGAAATGGACTCCTTTGCGGAAGATTGCACTTTTGGCCACTAGAGGGCAATGGTGACCTTCTCCAACTTCCTCCTTTGGGCCCCTCTGCTTTTGAGGGCACCATGAAAGCAGTTTTGTTACAAGCCTCATCTGCACCTCCGCGGAGAGGACAGATTCCCTCCTCGGAGTCTCAGGCTCCTGATCCGGAAGACTGTGCGCTTGGGTACATTCTGAGGTGGAGGATCTGTCACCTGTTACCGTTACCGGCAGTCTCTTCTCACTGTGCACCTTGTTAGAAAGTTGGAAAATTTTGTGATTTGAGATTGTCTAAGTCAAACCTGAGTGGGGGTTGGGCAGAATTGTTGATAAATAAGGTTATCTCGCTCTGAGGCAGCTATCTGGCAGATAGGTGGATGGATATGTGATAGATGGTGTTTTTTTGTTTTGTTTTGGTTTTGTTTGTTTTTATTTCGTGATAAGAAGGGAGTGTTGATTCTGGGAGGGGGATGGAATGAATTAGAGGTGTGTGTGGAGTAAGTGTTCCTGAGATTTCTGCAATAACATTACCTCTTCTTTCAAGAGGTTTTAAAGACACTTGCAATTTGCAAAAAAAAAATTACAAAGAACTGCAGTTTAATTTTCAGTTAACACTTTGGAGTGTTGAGCTTTAATATAGCAGTAATGCTTTATTCTTACCTTCAAAGCATTTTTGTTATTGCTGTATAAAATCTAACTTTAGCATGGAGTAAAATTTAATTCAAGTTAGGTCCTCAATCACTAGAATTTAATCATTGAGGTTTTTTTTCTTTTCTCAGCGACACGGAAATTATGGTTTATGATTAAATTGCACATTTCAGGCTGCACAAATTTATACAAATTTATATTTGTTACTGTTTGATGATGTCGTTATGAAAGTTCAGAAAAACTGAAAGAACAAATGCTGTTATAATTAAGAGGAAAACTCTATTAAAAGTAAGTACTGTCTTAAGTGGATACATCTGTATTTTTTTAAACTGAGTAGAGTTGTCTCCCTGGTGGTTCCACAGTTCTTTGCAGCTCTGAACTGTGTTGGAATCTGTGGACATTTGAAGAAGCAGGAATCAATGCAAATGGTTATGGGAGGGACTATTTAGTCACTCAGTGAAAAGTAAGATAAAGTGTTTCGTGAACTGATGCTCACGTACTACCAGACAGTTGATTTAACTTTTTTAAGAAGACACTTTTACATTCTAAGGGCTTGTGAACAATGCGCCTTAGACCTGCAAACAGAATTTCCTTGTCATTTAGTTTGGTTAGAGGACATTTGTAGAGATCTGGGATACTTTCCGGGAGAGACTGTTGGCTCCATAGATTGTCAGTTCAAGGTTTCAGCTCAGGCAGAGAATCTGGTATCATAGGGTGTTAAATGAGAAAAGAATCTGAGGGAGAAGGGGAAGAAGAGAGAGACAGAGACAGAGAATGTGAAAGAGACAAATGGGGCTATTTCTCATGGCAGGACAAACACAAGTCTCTAGAGTTCTGCTTCCTATTTTCTCTATCTCGTCTTCACGTAGAACATTTTGAGGGCTGAGCCTGGAAGTTGCTGTAAATGGCTCTATTGGCAGCAGTGAGCAGTGATGTCTCTAGCTGTGTATTCCTTAAACAATATTTGTGAATGAATATTGCTTTCTTGTCAGATTCTCCATGCTGTTGCAGATGGAAGAAAGCCTTTACTTCCTTATCTGGTACATTCCAGTGGAGTGGTTTTTACGTGTTAGTCTCACCTCTCGCTGTTCTGTTCTTTTATACGGAATGGCTTTAGGCCCAGTGACAACCTTGCTGTAATGGTGACCTAATTGTCAGAGCAAGCTGAGTGATAGAAGGCTCCTCCCTAGCCTTAATATGAGACATGCAGAGATCTGTTTCCAGCTTTTATTAGGTTCCAGCTGTGAAGCAGGACTTTGAATAGATGCCTGGCTCTCAATGCTGGATTATCCTTCTCTGTATGAATAAGTTTGGTGCGACCAGCACTGATGATCAAACTGTGGGAACTCAAGATGGTGTTTGCAAACATTTTGCCCATGGTCATGTTGTGGAAAAGTTAAGCTAGTCTTTATCATTACTGAGCCTTGGACCAGTTATGTGAACATGGTGGTAGCCTTGATCCACAGCACGGCTAAGATGACAAAGAATATGAGCTTAGGCATGCCTGTGCATGGTTAAACCTGACCTTATTGAAGATTTTGTCTTTTATTCGTCATGGACTTTTCCAGCCGTCTCTTAAAACAGACTTCTTCATGTGTGTGTAGTTTATATGTACTGATCTTTTACCTGCATTTATGAATGTATATCACATGTGTGCCTGGCACCCATGGAGGACCCAAGAAGGAACGGTATTATCTGGAATGGGAGTTGCAGATAGTTGTGGGTTGCCAGGTGGGTTCTGGAAACTGAACCCAGGTTCTCTGCAAGAGCAGCCAGTGCTGTTAACCACTGTTCTATCTCTCCAGGCCCT